CTCTTCCTCCCACTGCTGTGCATGTGCTAACTCTCTCAAATAAATGTTAAAAAAAAAAAAAAAAAAAACCATCTGGTGACAAAAATCATAGTTTTAGAAGTAGTGTCTGTAGGTTGTCATTATAAAAGGTGAAAAATGTCACTTGTGCAAATTTAGCCAAAAAATATTTTTGGAGCTTTGGTTTGGCTTTTTGCCTCAACTTGGACATTAACTGAAGACGAAAGAAGAAAACAAATCTTAAAACCAGTAAGGTTTTGTATTTGTTAAAATCTTTACAGTTCAATAAATATCTGCTGGGTTGTATTATTTATATTATACTATGAAACAATCAGTATAAATGGTAATTTACCTATTCAGCAGTAAATGCCAACATTGTTTATATCTAGGGTTTTTGAGTTGCAAGTTAAACTGAATTTTTACTACAGTGGAGAGGAAGAACATAGCGGGCAATAGAACAGGTAATACCATAATTTAAACAAAACACAAGTAATTGAATTCTCTTATACTATTTTTATGTATAGGTAAGTTTTTAAATACCTTAAAATGTGCAGAGACTAATATTGGCATTCTAAGAATTTGTCCTGGCCTAGCCAACAGAAAGTAAAAAAATATGTAAGACGAAGCTGTTAGAGTTCTGTGAAGTTCTTCGATGGCCTTTTCTGCCTTCCAGCTTATGTATATATAAAGGTGGTTCTTTTGTGGCCTTGACTGGGGTAAAGCAGATCTGGGCATACTATAGGGTTTGTGGTAGTTGACAGCTGAAATAGCTAAAATTACCAGTTTTAGCTCCCAGGAAATAAAAACTGACAATTTACTTACACCTGGCACTTCACCAATTCACTTTTATGAAACGAGCACAGACTTAAGTTACTTAAATTATTAAAGTTGTAATTTGTTTTCCCAGTTACTATCTTAAGATCGCAGCTAAAGAAGCCATAGTTCCATGCATTAAGAGAAAGGTTGCTTTTTGTTTGAAGAGCTACTTTCTCAACTTGAGGCCCAAAGTCATGTTTATTATTTTGCTGGCTTATGATTTGCCTTTCTTGGTGAAAACTGATGTGCTTTTGTTTTTTCCCCTTTCAAGCCCTGTACTCACTTTAGCAAGATGCAGTGCATTTCTGACTAGAGAAAGAATTGAGGCTTGGAGGACACTTGACTCTATATCCTGGGAAAACCAGAATTGAAGCCTGAGACCTGCAGCTAGGCTAGTCTTTAATAGATGGTAATTGTCCAATTGTTCATTGCTCAGAAGTATGCAGGAAGGAGTAAGTATCCCTTTGGTTCTTTTGCCAGGTTTTTCTCTCCAAAAGCACTGTCAGGTTTAGTTGACATACCTTTCAGAGTGTGATAAAGCTGCTAGTTTAGAACCAACTGGCTTCTTAAATTTGTATTTTTAATACGCACTTTAGAGACACCTTATGGCTTTTATGTTTCTGTAATGCTGTTTGGTGCCCTGGTGTGAAAATCCGAGATAAATATCCCAGTTATTGCCCTACCAATAAAGACTTCAAGCATTCCTCTATAACAAAGAGCAAGAGTTTGAGGAAAAGGAAAAAATTTCAAAGTTCTATGAAGTTAGCTGGCAGTACTTTAAAAGAGCTTCGTCTAAGCCATTTCCCCTAATAATTTATGATGGTATAGAAAGGTAAGACCACCAAGAAGTGAGGTTGTCAGCCAATACCTGTATCTTGAACTACACTTATTTGGAAGAATCAGATGTATTCCACAAGAAAACCAGTTTCCTCTTAGATCCAGTCCATCGGCCAAGATTTTTTTCTTGGCAAGGCCAGCATTAAATGTTAACTAGGGCATTATGCAGTGGTTACTACTAGTGTTTAACAGACTGAAGCTCAGGTTAGTCTTTTTTTTTTTTTTTAGAAAGATCAGGTAATCACTAAAACCGCTGATACATCAATCTTACAAAGTCTTTATTTAAAAAATTCTATAGGACATCAAAAGTGACTTCTTACAAAGTATAACCTGTCATGGAATTCTGTGAAAGTGAACCATTTTATTTATTTATTAAAATTGTCTTTTTCTGCAAGACCCAGAGTCAGAATAACTAAAATTCAAGATTAAGGATGAAGAAATTAGAAGGTTGCATTCATCAGAGAAAGGAGAAGTACAAACCTTATTTTTCTTTTGGTGCTACAAACTCCTAGGTTGAATATGTGTGGGGATTTACATATATAAGTTTTAATCCTTACAACCTTTCAAAATAGAGGTAGTATTTGCAACAACTTTTCAGGAGGAAACAGGCTCCATGAAGAAATTAACTTGCCCAGAGTCCATAGCAAATATTCGAACCAGTATTTAAATGTGACCCCGAAAACCCTGTTCTTCCCAGATTATGCTGCTGTTTGTAGGGAGTATGGAATTTTTGAGATGTAAGGATAATAAAAGAAAGGGGGAAAAGGCAGCTCCTGCTTCTTCAAGTGGAAGAAAACAAACTTACCAAAGAACCTTCTCCAAGAAGTTAAACGATTTCCTTGTGAGAAATGACCCAGGAGGCAGTGTGGCCTTAGGTTAGGAAATTTTGCCTCAATAATCCTCACTGCCTTTTAAAATCCCTTCATAATGCTAAAAGCTACCATCGTGGGGACTAGAAAAGTCATTTCTACCAGAGTTCTCATACCTATTCCAACCAGAAACTACAGTCTGACTTCATCAGAATCTTCTTTGGTAATAAATATGCACTGAAATAAGACTTACCTCTATTAGTATATTACTCAGGCATTTTACATAAAGGGTACCTTAACTCAGGTTAGTGGGTAGGGACTAAACGCGAACTTCCAGGCTTCTTTTCAAATTAAATGGATAGTTGTAGCCAAACGGATACCCAAAAAGGTCCTTAAGAACAGATAATAACAAATGGCTTTGTGTCCTACCTGAAGCAGTTAAGATTATCGGGTACATTAAACCATCTGCAGTTGGGTTACGTGGAGTTATCAGTCAAGAAGGCACCTGTTTAAATTACAGAACAGGAATGGCAATGATTCAAATTGCCATTAATTCTGGACTACTGAAGTCGTATCAACTTAAACATGTAGGGGATAGTTGCTTCTCAAGGTGTGGATGCTCATTCTTATTTTTTCCTTCATAGAGAAGGGTGGGACAAAAAGCACTCGGGTGTTCTTCATTCACAATTTTTATTTCTTGCAATTAACTTTTATATCTTCAAAGTCGATTTGTCTTTTAAAAAATTAATACTTCTTACTCATCATACAATCCACTCCCCTCCCACAAGGTAAACAAACCCAGGGAAAGAGTAATTCAGAGGGCAGTTGAAATAGTTACTACAGATTTGTGACAAAGGCTTTCCAGACCACCAACCTGTACATATACAACAAAATGGCAGCACCTCAAGGTCTCCTGAATGACGTCCGAAACTCCAGCCCTACCCAAGTGATGCCGGTGAATGCCGTGAGAACAAAATGGAAGCTTAGTCGTTGGCTTCCATTTACTATCACGGTAGTTAGCAGAGTCTTTAAACTGTCTCCCTTGGGAAAGTCAAAAGTGAGCAAATACATAGAGCAACATTTTGACCCAGCCAGGAGCAATTATAAGTGAAACCAAAAATAATTGACCTGGGCCAGAGAAATGAATTTATCATGTTTTTCATAAAGTCCCCAGCACCTGAAGTAGCAAGTTCTAATAATGGGCTTCTAAAGGCATGCAGTTTTTCACACATCTACTTCAAAGGGTTTCTTCCACTCAAACAGAGCACAATCAAGGATAAAATGTTTTCAGAGGCACAGGAAGAGCACAAACAAGTATATGCTGAGGCCTTGTGTGTGACCAAGATGGTACACTTCATACACAGAAGCAGTGAAAGCTGTCAAAGTGCTACTTACAAAGGATAGTCTAACATTACACACACAACTCAACTGCACTGCTACATATGGTGGTCTTTATTTTCTTTTTCCTTGCCCAGCCCTATCTAAACAAAATAAAACTACAGGACTGAAATTAACAACCCATTAAAATCAGCAATAAGTTACGAAAATCATAAAGCTTTTTTTTTTTAAGTAATTAAGGGTAGTTAAATTATTCAAAGTATACAAAGTCCAAAGAGCCAGGGGTAAGGGGGTCCAAGAAGACTTCCTGGGGTAAAGGAGAAGGTGGGGTGGGGTAGGGTGAACACCTTGGATTTGGAAAGACAAAGGTAACACATGACATCAAAGTGCAGGCTAGAAAAGAAATTTCACTTAAAAGGTTTCTGAAAATATTGGGAAGAGCAACAACAGCACCTGCACAGTGGGACTGTGAGGAAGGAGAGAGACTGCTGGTAGGAAAATGAAAGCAAATCTTTACAATGAAACGAGACAAGTGCCGAACTCAACTATGTTAAGTATTATAGCGTGTCTACTATAGATATCAGATGGTTAAAAGCTGGTAAAAGGTAATGATTCTAAAAGAAAATAAAAACAGCATTGACCTTTTTTCTACCTAGCCCAGACCTCATTCATTTTGTGCACTATAAAGAGTGAGGTGTGAGGTGTTTTATCATTATCAAATGCTGCATCAAAATAGATGATTTATTTTCCCATGTGTTTTTCCACTATAAAAGACATCTATGTTCTTTATGGACAAGCTTTAAAAAGATGTCATTTTGGTTTTCAACACATACAAACAGTTATCAAAATCTGAAATAAAAATGCTGCCGTGGCTCAGACCTTGGCCTGCTAATCTGCGTGCACGATTCTTCTGGCCCACGCAGACACAGAGGCATGGAGAGCTTTTTCCTTCTGGCCCCTCAATCCGAATTCCTAGGCCCTGTGTGGTAGAGGCTGTCATACTGCCCCCATGCTGCCCAAGGGCCCAAGGGCGGCTGACTGTGGAGCTGGCGGTGGGGTGCCCTACTGATCACAATGCAGGATAAGGTTAGCTTGCTTAGCATGGAATCCAACAGAAAGCTGAGCTGCATGATGATCCCTTTCAAAAGGCTTCATGGGAGTCTCTCCTCTTGCAGAGCATGAAATGAGGTTGCTTCCCCCCCCCCCAAGATTTGATCATCCACAGGCTTCCTGATAAGCTGTCCCAGGCTGAGTTTTAATAGCTCTTTAGCTATCCAAGTTAATGCCTGATTATCTTGTCTTCTCATTACTATAGGTTTGACTTTGTTTTTAGGACCATAAAACTCAGGAAGGGTTCATAACCCCATCCTTAAATGTGTCTACTCATTGTATTATGAGCAAACTACAGAAGAAAAAGAGGACAGAATCTCCAATGTCCTCTTTCAAATAAACTAAATCAAGAAAATTTCACCAAGTTTTCTGCTGCCATTAGAAACAGATTTTCAAATATGAATATTATGAGTATTTGTTCTGCTGGGGAGGCTCTGCTCCACTTTTTGCTAAGTATTTGCTTAAATAGAGGTCTTTTGACCCTTTTGTTCAAGTATAGTTTTGTTTAGTTTTAAAGAGGAGACTGCATCATGAACCCAATTTAAGAGATTGTTTGGATTGAGTTGGCCCAGTGAATATTTTGCCCTGCACTGTTATGTCATGCTGGGTTCTAGGAAGTGAACGAAAGTTTGACACTGGCACTGGAGTAACCCTCGTCACTCCCAATACTCTGCAGGCTGCTGTGGTCATCAATGTCACTGATGCTGGTGGTACTGATATTGTCCACTTCTCCATGGGAGAACTCTGTGCTTTCAACATCCACTTCAATCTCCTCTGCCAAAGAGAGAAAAAGAAGAACATTAGTAATCTGGACTTTCAAAAAGTAATGAGAAAAGGGCATAAGAAAAAGTGATTATGTTTTTGTAGTGTAAAATAATTATACAAGCTTCTTATCCGTGATCTCTGGAGAACAGAAGTAACTAAAGGTGAAGAGACACAGGGATACATTTTGTAAAGGGGAATGTCTGGTAACCAGTGGTGGTCTCGATCAGCAAGTTTACTAAAGCCTTTGACGCCAGTCCGTCTGGACCTCCCACCAAAAGAACTCAGCCTATTTGGGAATTAGTGCTTAATATTAAAAAATCCCAACCCCAAGTGCTTTAGCTACATCTGTTTTGCATTAAACTAGAAACTAATTCTCAGTGTTGTTTATTAATCAGAGTTGCCTTAAAGAGGGAAAAAAGCATTAGTTTAGTATAGGTGAACTAGAAAATTTATCCATTTATTCTTGCCTTTGGCAGTCTCATTCTACAGACAGTTCTACAGACTTCTAGGATTCATCACAAAGACCTCTGACTACTCAGCAACCAAACTAAGCCAGTCATTATAGAGTGAACCTGAGAGATTTCTATACAATTCGATTTAATTTTCTTGAATGAAATGTAGCTTGAAATGAGGGTATGAGCCTGAAAAGTCTCTGGATTATAGTGAGATCTATAGCAAAGATAATAGCAAAGGCATTTCAGTGATGGTTAACTTTACTTCAAAATCAAACATGATTTTTAATCCCTACATACATATATGACTGGATGGGGCACCTGGGTGGCTCAGTGGGTTAAGCCTCTGCCTTCGGGTCAGGTCATGGTCTCAGGGTCCTGGGATCGAGCCCCGCATCGGGCTCTCTGCTCAGCAGGGAGCCTGCTTCCCTTCCTCTCTCTCTGCCTGCCTCTCTGCCTACTTGTGATCTTTGTTTGTCAAATAAATAAATAAAATCTTTTAAATAAATAAATAAATAAATACATATATGACTGGCTATCAACACTTTGTTAAATACTACATATACAATCACCAATACTACATAAAATACAGTATACATTTTAAAAAACAAAGGCAGTTGAAAAACTGTTCTCTCCCATAACAGCCAGAATGAACTCAAGATTCTTCAATTCTTTTAAGTTCAAAGTCTGATGTTTTGTATCTGGCACTGACTCTAAGGGTTCCCACTGATCACAACTGCTTTAGGAAAAGTGAATTCTTGCTGAGCCCAAGAAGACAGAGTAAGTTATTTCAAAGAGTATTATTTTCAAAAGGGCTTGTTGCTTCCAAAAGTTTTAGAAACATTTAGAAATGTTTCTGAAATGCAGGCATCTGTCCAAACAAGCTGTCCAAACAATCCTATGAATTCATAACTGTTTGTTTCACATCCATAATGCTTCACAGGCTATTTGGTCTTTCCCAGTATCACAGAATCTCATCCAACCTACGATTAGAAAATAGAATCAAAACACCCTATCCAACAGAGCTCGCTGGACTCACAAAGTAAAATGAGAGACTGCTCTAGCTCTAGCCAAATGGACTGGAGATCGCACTAAAAGTCCCCTATAATACTGGGAAAGAGAGCTTCTAGATAAGAACAGGAAAAGAGGTTCTAGCACATGGGGACTACTAAAAAAAAATGAGAACTATAATGATGAAGACACACTCTTTCTCAAATTTGGAGGTGGGGTGGGTACAAGGAGGAGTTAACAGCAGGAAGGGCAGCTAAAACCTGCAGACCTAACAAAGTCAGACAGCTACTAACTAGTAGAAGAAAGACTAGGATTGAGGTCTGCCTCTTAATTTGGGGTCATTCTTGCTACAACTGTCAGACACAGATCCAGCATGTCCCCAAGGTTCCTGCTGCTGCCTCTGATAAACTTTTGTTCTCTGAAATTGAGTGCCACATAAAAACAAACTTACATAGCAAAACAACAAAAACAACAAACCCAAGGACTCCTAGGGTTGTGCTAAAAGGGATCAAAAATCAATTTGAAACGCTTCTATGGAATATAAGAAACTGGATGATGGGTACATGAGAATTCAATATTCTATTCTACTTTTGTGTACATTTGAAAACTTCCATATAAAAAGTCAAAAGAAATTCTACAAATAATTCTTTGTTTTAGAATCCTCAAGATCTCATGAGCTCTATTTTCCCTAATATAAAGCTTAAAATCATGAGAGTTCACCTCTGGGATCTTCTATTGTGTTGTGAGGCCTGATGTGGTAGGAGCTTTAGATGAACAGATCAGTAAAATTCAAACAAAATTCCTGGTTTGTTGTTGGTCTTTCATTCTGCCAAAGACAAACAGTCTGGGACAGATGGAAAGAGAAATGAAGGGTGCGGCCTTTAAAATACAGACATAAAAATTAACATCACCAGTTACAAAACATAACATCATGTATCTTCCTAATGCAATGAATTGAGAAGAGCACAACATCACTTCTGTGATATTTCTTCCCCCCAAATGTAAAACCTCCACTTAATAATGAGAAAACCTCGAGACACTTGAAAGATGCTATATAAAATAACTGGCCGGTATTCTTCAAAATTGTCATGGTCACAGAGACTGAGGAGCTACTGAATGCAATGTTGGATCCTGCATTGGATCCTAGGTCAGACGAAGGACATTAGTGGGAAAACTGGTGAAACATGAGTAATGTCTACTGATTAATAATATTACATGAATGTTAATTTTCTGGTTGCAGTAACTGTTATGTCTACAGAAGATGTTAATAGTAGGGAAACCTGGGTGAAGAGTGTATGAGAACTCTACCATTTTCTACAGAAGACACAGCTTTTCTCTCAGTTTAAAATTGTTTCAAAGTAGAGGGGCGCCTGGGTGGCTCCGCTGGTTCTGTGTCTGCCTTCCACCCAGGTCATGATCCCAGGGTCGTGGGATTGAGCCCCGCACTGGGCTCCCTGCTCAGTGGGGAGTCCGCTTCTCCTCCTCACAGCTCATGTTCTCTGTCACCATCTTTGTTTCTCTCAAATAAATAAAATCTTTCAAAAAATTGTTTCAAAGGAGAAAGTTAAAAATACGTACCTACAAAATAAAGGAAAAAAAAGTTCTGTAGTTCATCAGGCATTGCTAGGCCACGTAGTGACTGCACAAGATCCAGGATGGTGCAGCACTAGCTGAAGAGAAGAAAGCAAATACAGGGCTTTCCAACGTACCCTGCCTAAATTTAGATACAGGGATGCTTAGTATTTCATTAGGGAAGAAGCAAACGGCCTACCTCGCTCTGAATCAGAACGATCTGAAGAAACAGTCGATCCAATGCTGTCCATTCGTATTCGTTCCAGCTCCTGAGGACCCTGCAGCTGTTCCAGTCGCCGCTTTAAAAATCTCTGTTCTCGTTCCAAGTTCTCTAGCTGGTGCTGGCTCCTCCTTTCAGCTTCTTCAAGTTTCTAAAATGATAAAATGCTACTTGTGTACGGTCCAGTACAAGCAATAAAATTCATTCTTACCTAACATCTTAAACGTTTTCTTCTTTGGCAGAGAAGGTCTGAATATACAGGTATATACGTGTGTGTATCTAAAAACATACATAAATACGTATTTTTAAACATCAAAAATAATTTTCTTCATTTTTCCTTTCCTGTCTGTGCGTAATGAATGCTACATGACTGTAACGGTTTGGAGTTCGCAAAGTCTGTGAAGTTATCTCCATGACAGAGAAACTTGCTCTGCGCTGTGGTTCAATGGAAAAATACCGGAGGACAGAGCCAAACAACGTCATCTCCACCAGAGGGCACAATTGCCTTCCTTCTGCAGATCAGAAGAGTAATTGTTATTTTCCTAGTATTCCCAGCTCCTCAGATGGCCATGCTGTCAAAACAATTTAGTTTAATCGGGTTATGTTGCTCCCATCAGATTAGCTGAAAAGTTTTCAGGAAGATTCCTCTTGAGGTCAGTTATTAAGGAGGGCACAGTGAGCTAGCTGATGTTTATGAACAGGAATCATTGCTTATAATGAAACAAGGGCTGAGACAGTCATGTACAAATACGAAAGAAATTCTCACCTTGATGTGTGCTTTGGCTTTGTTAAGCAAACCAAGTGTTGTGTGCCTGGTACAGTCTGGTCCTAGTGGAATCAGAACTTTTAAGCGTTCTAAACAGAGGCGCAGATGAGCTCGTCTACAAAAGACGACAAAAGTCAAATCAGCACAGCCTAAATATTGCACTAGAAACCTCCTAACGCCTATTTTAAGACAAATAATAGCTGGGGCGCCGGGGTGGCTCAGAGGGTTAAAGCCTCTGCCTTCAGCTCAGGTCATGATCTCAGGGTCCTGGGATCGAGCCCCACATCGGGCTCTTTCCTTGGTAGGGAGCCTGCTTCCTCCTCTCTCTCTCTGCCTGCCTCTCTGCCTACTTGTGATCTCTCTCTGTTGAATAAAAAAAAAAAAAAAAAAAAAAAAAAAAAACCTTAAAAAAAAAAGACAAATAATAGCTCACAGATTACTTAGTCTATATCCATGTTACACCCCTAATTCTTCAGTTGCAAAGTACGTGCAAATACAGGCACGCTTACTGGTTTTCGGGCTCTACCATGACGTTTGTACTCCGCAGACACAGTCACTTCAGATTACTATCCCCAGTGGTAATCTGTCAGAGATGCTTTATTTTTAAGCCATCCCATAAACTGTCTCCAAGTGTACTAATGTGGAAGTAGGAAAGCATACCAGGGCAATTAATTGTATTGATTTTGAATGCCTAGAACGACAGGCTACAGTAGAAGTTTTCAGCTGGAATAACCCCAGGGAGTATAAAATGCTCAGGAATTTCCATTTCTTCTCTCCCATCTTTTACATACACCCACACACACCTCTCTCTACAACTGTAGCCATCCTACAGTGTTACCTGTTATCATGTTAGATTGAACCACAGAAAAATTTTGATATCTAAGTCTCACTTATAAAAATGGCAACTTCTTATGATTCTACACATTAGAAACAGCAAAATGGTATGACCAGCTAGAACAGGCTTAGGCAAAATATATGGCTCTGTGGTCAATTTCAGCCACTGAAACAACCACCCAGGAAACAGTCCCCTGCTTCCTAACATCTCAGTGCACCAGTTCATTAGTTTTAAATTTTTATCTCTCTCCCTCACCTCTCTCTCTCATTATCCCACCTCCAATTTTCTACACATTGGGAAAAAGGTAGGTAACAACAAAAAAAATTTTTTTAAAGATTTTTATTTGTTTATCTGAGAGAGAACAAGAGCAGGGGGAGGGACACAAGGAGAGGGAGAAGCAGGCTTCCTGCTGAGCAGGGAGTCCATTGCGGGGCTTGATCCCAGAACCCTGGGATCAGGACCTGAACCAAAGGCAGACGCTTAACCAACTGAGCCACCCAGGTGCCCTTGACAAAACTCTTTACAAAAAAACTATTCCATTCTTTAATATACCCATTCTATGGACAACTTAGGGAAATTTTCTACTGAAAATGCTAGCACAGAGTCTCATGGTTTTACCCTCCCTGTATCCTAAAGGTACTACGATCACCATGATGAGCATTCTGGGTACTTAACTGTATACTAACACAATGTGAGTCCACATCTCTGGTTCTTTGCTTCACAGGCATAACATAATTTAGCAATTAATAAATAGCATATCTGATAAGAAAATCCACAAATGTGTTCACAGTTTATCCTTATTCCTTAAAGAGTTGTTAACTGACCATTTAGCAACTGTCTTCATTTGAACAAGGAACAAAACACATCATCCTCTCAATGAGGGCCAAAATGATTTTATGAGTTCACCCACCAAACTATGCTTTCTTGGTCTTACTACACAAGAAATAATAAGTGAAATTCTCAAACGCTAGCAATTTGAAAGAGGGGCAGGAGAAGACAATAAGCAACCAATTATGTCACTGACAAGCAAGGATGATGAAGAGTCTGGAGGTCAGAGTTTGGTAATGAACTTTCAAGATTCTTCCAGCTTCCACTACCCCAGCTTTGGTCAAGGGTCCATTAGTATATCCATTCCAAACCTCTTTATTGAGTTCAGTAGTTCAAATCTAATAGTTGGCTCCAGGCTTGACATATCTGATGTAGATAAAGGAATTTTAAAATTTTCCCTAAATTAAAGGTATATCAATGGATTCCCCTCAATGAGACTTAACAATTTTAAAGTCATTGTGCTGCCCTGCTGTGCTACCCCAAATCACAGAACCTTTAGTAAAATTCTCATTTTTAACTGGAAAACCTCTTGAGTGAAGATTCACATGATCGCTTAGTGCTTTTGCTGGGCAGACTAAAACAATAACAAAAAAAAACGAAACAAAAAAATCCATAGTAAAAAGTGCCTTTAAACTCTTCATCAGAATTATTCTAGCATATATGCCTAATAACTGCACTCCTACAATATGACTGGAGGACGGAGAGAAAGACTGGCGGTCGTCTTGCTAAGAACTAGAGGCTCCCAAGGGGGCCCTGAATTCAGGCATCTAAAAAAGTTAATACAGCAACTAACTAGTAAAGTTAACAAGTATGTTGGCACAAGAATAACTTGTCAATTTTGTTTACTTAACCCCAGAAGTTCAGTGTATATACAGGAAATATCTTCTATATTGAGTTTAAGGAACTTCACAATGACCCCTTACTAGAGTTTTACATCAAGGAAAAAATGGGTGCTTCAGTTTTCTGTTTTTCAGATCTAAGTCATATTAAAATCTAAGCAGAAATCAACTAACATCATAAAATGTCTATGTTTTTTTCTCTTTCTTCTTATCATTGAGATATGTATTTACTACATGACTTTGTATATTCAGCAATATTCCACACACTTGCTTGAGTGGTGGAAGTAAAAAAAGAAATGTGAACTTTAGGAGTTTATAATCTAGACTACAGAATGAAATATATTGTTTGGTTTCATCTGGTTCATAATGAAATGAGTCACACGGAATTCAAGGGCAACAGAATCTGAATAAAAGAGGAGATTGTAACTGGAGAAAGCACACTTATAAGAGAAGTTGAAACTTGACTTTGGACTTGAAGGATACTGAATTTGTCTATAGAAAAGCAAGCCTTTTCCAGGCAATTAAAAGAGTACGGGACTCAAGTTCATAAAGTGAAATCAAGTTACTTTTTTCTTTCAGGGGAAAACAACAAAGCTGGAATTCTGTAAGGAAGTATCAGCCAAGTTCCGTAGTCTGGTGGTCCACAACAGCAATGACAAATCCGAATCTGCCCAAGCCAAGGGAGTCAACGTGTAGGATGGCTAGATGAACAGCAAGGCAGACCACCCTCTAAAATATTTTTTATTAGCCCCTATTGAACATTTCTTCAGTCAAGTAATTATAAATGTGCTCCAAGTTATAGCTTAAGAAAACATGCCCTGAGTTATCATGTCTCACAAAGACCAGTGATGCCATTTTCCATGTTTTATAAACATAATCTTTTAAAATAGGTAAGAGTATGAAGAATGGATGGTAAATGATGTCCTTTGCTCTCCTGTGGGGAAAGGTCCCTGTGAGAGCCAAATGTCATTTCCTCCAGTTTCTATACGGGTAAGAGAATCAGGCATTTGGAGAAGAGAGTAACAAAAGGTTAATGTCAGTTGAAGGACAGAAACTGACCAAGTGGGAGCCACACTTTCCAAAACTGTCATCCAAATATACGGCACACAGTTTTCCACATGTGCTTATTATGCCGGTTTTAGGTGAATTCACCCTTCCAAGAGCAATGTAATACCCTGTGACTATAAACTGGGAAGTCGAACCAGAAAATTCATTCACCTTGACGTGTAACTTTTTTCGCCCCAGCAGATTACTGAAACACACTGTACAGCAGAATTCTTCCCTTACAATGGTGCTGTGCTGCTCTCCACCCTTTCCCCCATGGTCTCCCTGCTGGTGACCAGATTGCAAGCTTAACCACCAACGACCTAGAAAGGCATATCTTTTGATGCCATCTGGTCCCTTCTTTTCTTGCCTTCATTCTCATGTGACCGGTGGCTCAGGAGCCTCTCATATGGGGTTGCCAAATCATGGACCGTAAGACACTGGAGGAAGAAAAGAGGACAAGAGGAAAACAAAACAAAACAAACAAACATAAAAAACCAACAACCTTGCTTTGATTTGAAAATCCTTACGCACTAAGAAAAAATCTGCGAGTGGCATAAAATGGTATTTTTCAAATCTCCAAGGAGTGGAAGAGCTGACACAGAAAAGAAGGATTCACGAATGGTATAGCCCTGTACCTTTAGTCGAAGCGGGTTAAGAAGTTTGGGGGTCAGGGGGGTCCCTGGGGGGCTCGGTTGAGGCAAGCAATCAAGAAATCAAGTTGACTTTTGATTTCGGCTCAGGTCATAATCTCAGGGTTGTGAGATAGAGCCGCATGTTAGGCTCTGCACCCAGTGAGGAGTCTACTGGAGATTTCCCCTCTCCCTCTGCCCGCCCCCGCCCCCGCTTACATCCACACACGTTCTCTAAAATAAATAAATCTTTAAAATAAAATTTTAAAAAAGGAAGGTTGGGGAAAGTTAAGGCTTATGTTCTGAATGTTCCGATGAACACCAAACTAACAACCAATAGAAAAACCTGACATTGTAAAATTTATGGAACTAGCCTTGATGGAAAACAAGAAAAAAATTTAGCCCCCTGGTTAGCATTTATTTAACTTTTCACAGCACACGGAGGGCTCAATAAAAACTCTACAATGTAAATCTTTCGTAATTTAGCATGATGATTAGACACTGCAGCAGGGGTGCCCTGTGAGAAAACTGGAATCTCCTTGCTGAGAGGGAGGGGGCAAGAGAATGGAGATAGCAAAGCACTTTTATTTTCAAAGACACTTTGAGGTCTGTTTTAAAATAGATTTAAAAGTGGGTTTTACCCAGGGGATGAGGCAATTTCCAGTGACTAACCTTGTTGGAGAGAAGGTCCTATCGAACTAACCCACACCTTCAGAAAGGGCAAGCCCCTTGTGGGAAAAGGAACAATTAGAGTCTGTTTGGCTTTTATTTTGGTAGATTGGGATCATTTTTCCCTGAAGGAACCAACGCTGCTTTTGATTTCAAACCTTGTAAACTCTACTGCCAAACTGAAATATCACAGAACATGAGGGGAAATGATTTTGCTATAAAATGGCCCCTCCTAGTAGCTGTGATATTTTAAGGCATAGGTATGTCA